AAAGGAAATCTTTTCTATGCATTTTTATTACCATCCATGGCACTTACTAGTGTAAGTCATAACTTAAAAAGGAAATCTTTTCTATGCATTTTTATTACCATCCATGGCACTTACGAGTGTAAGTCATAACTTAAAAAGAAATCTTTTCTATGCATTTTTATTACCATCCATGGCCCTTACTTGTGTAAGTCATAACTCAAAGGAAATGTTTTTTATGCATTTTTATTACCATCCATGGCCTTTTGGATCCTCAAGTCCAATGAATAGCAATCTCATTGCAATCTAATGGTCATTTGCACTAAATCTAATGAACAGAAATGCGACAACAGAGTTACCCAATGCTGCTTGCTGACTGGTTTTATGAAATTTATCTTTAAATGTTCTTTTAATATAATTGTCTTTTTAAAAAAAAATATATTAACAATGCCCTCGTTTCAAAGTTTAAATGCAGTAGACAGTGAAGTGGCGTATCCCTAGGCAACTGGCGAAGATATGATTTGATCTTGTAGTCACTTGCATCTTAAAGTCTCGTTTGGTACGAAGTATTAAAAATGAGGAGTAGGAATTATGATTGAGATTAAAAAAACCTTGTTAAACACTAAAAAAAACATCAAATTAGCGACGGAATTTTCATCACTAATTAAAATTAGTGATGGATTGTTGACGGAATTCAGTTAGCGACGGAATTAGCAATGGAATTTTTTCCGTCTCTAATTCCACCGTTACTAAATAATCAATGATGGAATTCAAAATTCTGTCGCTAATTACTAACGGATTAGTGACGAAAATTAGTTACTAATTCGTCGCTAATTAGTAATGGATATCCACCAAAAATTTCGTTACAAAATAATGATGGATTTGTGACGAAACATTCGTCACAAACTGGTGACGGAAATTTCCGTCACTAATCCGTCGTTAAATTTTTTTATTTTGTAAATTTAAAATACCACATCATCACCACGTGTCCATCACTATGAGCCGCCACGTCATCAATGACTGCCACCTTACCAACTCCTCTCTCTCTCCCGTGTTGCCACGTCATTCTTCGTCCACGTCATCGCCACATGTCCATCACTGGATGTCACCTCAACTCCTCCTCTCTCCTGTGTAGCCACGGCATTGCCTTGTCCAAATCATCGCCACATGTCCATCATTATGAGGTGTCACGTCATCACCACGTCACAAATTGAGCCAATTGAGCCAATTTGTGAAGAAGTGGGGGTTCGAACCTGTGACCTCCTGCACACATGTTAAAGCCTTTGCCAGTTGAGCTGAGAAACACCTGTGAAAGTCTTTTACAAAAAGATATATATAGAATATTTCTAATAAAAATACAAATATAGAAACTAATATTAGATACATAATTTAGATATATTATATAAGGAATAGATTATTAGGGATTTGAATTTAATTTTTAGATTTTATTAAAAAATTTCTAAGAATTTAGATTTTTATTCAAATATTGGGCACAATAAAAAATATATTATACATTTTATTTTCTTTTATAATATTTTTAATTTTTAATTTTTAATTTTTATATCAGATATTATTTAAAATTATGAATATTATATTTTTATTTTAATAATTAGTTAAACAATAATTATTATATATTTATATTATATTTTTTTGTGACGGATTAATGATTGAATTGTGACAGAAATTAGTGAAGAATTTTTTCGTCACTAATTTCGTCACAAAAGAGAGTTAGATGAGATTGATGACGGAAATTAGTGACGAAATTTTCCGTCACTAATTTCCGTTACTAATCATTTAAAATAAAATTAACAACAGACTTGTGACAGAATTTAGTAACGGAATAAGATCCGTCACTAATCCTTCACTAATTTAGTGATGGAATTTTATTTCTGTCACTAATTTCTGTTACTAAATTTAAAACAAAAATTAGCGACGGACTTGTGACAGAATAAGATTCTATCACTAATCCGTCTCTAAGTTAGGGACGAAATAAAAATTCCGTCGCTAATTTTAGTGACGGAATTTGTAAGGGATTAGCGATGGATTAGTGACAGAATAAAAATTCCGTCGCTCAATTCCGTCCACTAATGTCCTGTTTTTTTTTGTAGTGAAAAAATTGTTTAGTATGAGAGATTTCTTGTTACATGGGATTAGACAAATTTATATATGTGGGATTAGAGAATACCATAGTAGGATGTTCTCCAATCCCACTTCAATGAGTTTGTCTAATCCTATATAATAAGTAATTACTCATATTAATACTTTTTTAATGATTTTTCTCAATTATATTCTCAGTTCTATCCCTCATTTTTAATGCTTCGTACCAATATGACCTAAAATTAAATGTGAAGATTGAAAAAAAAAACTCAAAATTTTCTCCACTATTCCGTTGGGAAATATGATCAATTTTCATATGGATAATGCCTCGGAATGTTCAAAAATACTACTCCTCTTGTATTTAACATAAGACCTAATTGACAAGTTAATATTGGTCTTATATGTAAGACTTATTTCACATGTTCACAAATTTTTTTCTTAAATTAATATTATTAATATTTCCCAATAATAATCAAGTAGAAGAGGGAGGGAGGAGGAAATGAAGAAAGATGTTTAGGATATTTTAGAAAAGACATATCATATTAACTAATTTAACTAATATATTTAATTTATTCAAATTAGTTAATTGGATCCTATATTAAGGACTGAGAGAGTACAAAACATCATATTAATTCCAAACAGAAATCAAAACCATAAAATTTTACAATTTAAGCATTTCGATACGCATCATTAGCCCCAGATATGCGCATGCACAAACACACAAATACTTTTTTAAAAAAACTAGACACTATTGACAGACAAAAAGATGGACAAGGTTAGAAAAAGCCAAGGCATTTTTATATCATAAAGAGAATTGACAAAGCTCCAATAAAGAAACATCCCACTGGGGGCATTGAAATTTGAAACTGAATCTAGGATAATAAAAGCCAACAGAGCTACAATAAAAAAAAACTCATTTCGTAATATAAATTATATAATAAATCTTCTATTTAGAACTGCATGACTGACATAACTGCACGTCTACACCCTTAAAAATAATGCAATGCTAATGAGGGCGGCCTCCTACTGGTTACTCTTTGGCCAAAAGGGACTGATAAATGGGTTGAAGTCGTCCATTTCCATTTTGGATGGCCTTCTTGTACCACTTTTGAAGAGTGCTCCACCGGTAACGGCAGCTCTCGGGGCTCCGGCGAAAGTTCAGATCATACATTGTATTTGATACTTGCTTCCACACCGGACCTCTATAGTGTCGAGGGAAGGATGCTCGAATCGCAACCAGACACAGTGTCGCTTCATCTGACCAGATGCAGTTCTTATTCTCCTCCATAGCTGCTTGACCCTCCTGAGGAATCATCGGTTTTTCTTCTTCCACAGCTGCTTGAGCCATGTTTTGAATAAGGCGGGCCAATTGCTCTTCTATGTTTCTTATTCTTACAAGTATCTGGGCCAGTAGGATGGATCGTTCCTCCCTAAGAGGTCTGAAAAATGAAAATCAGAACATGATTCAGGAATAGGCGAAGATTGAGAGAAAATTAGAGCGGTCTATTTAGCAGCAAACATCATAGAAACTTGAATGAGAAATAAAAAGATACCTTCGCCAATCTTCGTTGGACGCCATTGTTGGCCGAGTAGCTGAACCAAAGAAACTTGAATCGAAGGGTTTCGCAAGGGGCCTAATGCATTCATTTGTATCATTACTATTTTTGTATAAATTTATATTATCAATTTAAAAAAAAAAAAGTCAAATTATGAATAGGCGTACCCCTAAAGCAGTTAAGCTGTAACTAAAATTTACCAATTTAAAATATATTAAATTTTCTACCTATCACTAATAATGTATTTTTATAACTTCTTAACATGCCTACTTTTTTTTAAACTTTTTAAATACATCTAGCTAATATCAGGCCCAATATTTTTGTATAAAATTCAAAATATTCCCGAATGTCGTGGTTTAGTTTATTTTATTTATGTTTTATAAGGATATTCAATTGTGTCCTATTTCAGCATCTCATCTCAATTTTAATCATTTTGAGATAGTTTTATCCGAAACAAGGTGGGATGGGACAAAAAAAGGGGTAGGACAGGACTCGGACAAGGATGTCTCGTCACAGTTATGTTCTGATATCGTTTTTAATTTTTATGAACTTATTTGATTTATCATTATAATGGTATTATGGTTATGATATTTACTAATTATTATTTTGATTATTTGTTTACAAATTGTTCTACATGGATTACGTGATGTTTTTAAATAAACATTTTAAACTTTTTTTTTGTTTCTCAATATTAAAATTTTTTCTTTTTTTTTTTACCAATTTTTAATTACTGTCATTTTTTCTAATTTTTTTATATAATTTTGATTATAAGTTTTTGTACTTTATATATAATTAGTTTTTAAATTAAGAAAATAAAAAAATTTAAAAGAAAAGATGGAAATGTCCTTGTCCGTTTTAGTTGATATTACTAGGAGGTGTTTAAATGAAAACCAAACCATGATTTTAAAAGTGTTTTTATAATATACAAAGTAAATATGTGAAGCAGTTTGTCTCATTTTATAGAAGAACATTTTTTTATGTTACCAAACACTTTCTTGGAATAAGACCTAAAAGTCATTCCGTTCCAATCATGGGACAGCGTTTCATGAATATCTGTAATATTTTATATGTATATATGTATCAATGCTATCTACAATTTTTTTTTTGACTTTTTTTGGATAGGTTTCTTGATAATATTGTCATAAAAAGATTTTTTAGATGCTTATTTTTATTCTAAATATAAAATTTATTTTATAATATAAATTATTATAAAATAAGTTTTATATTTAAAACAGGAAGAATAATATCTAGCGTGAGCATTGATGATTTTTTAGCATGAGCATTGACGATGATAATCATGATTTTTCTTTATTATTAGCATTGATAATTTATTTTTTTCCCCGCTAAAGGTTCCACAGTAAGCGCGATGTGTCATTTCAATTTCCAGCTTGGTGCTTCATCACCCATTTCCGCAATTTCTCTCGCTCTCCTCCCTCCCTCCCTCTCAGCCTCTCTAGCCAGACCTTCTTCGTTCTGCTGCTGAGCTGAACGTTATGTCTTCGGACGAGGAGGACGGAGAGGAGTACCTCTTCAAGATCGTCATCATCGGCGACTCTGCTGTTGGCAAATCCAACCTCCTCTCTCGCTATGCTCGCAACGAGTTTAACATGCATTCCAAGGCCACCATCGGCGTCGAGTTTCAGACTCAGAGCATGGAAATCGACGGCAAGGAAGTCAAGGCTCAGATTTGGGACACTGCCGGCCAAGAGCGCTTCCGTGCCGTCACTTCTGCCTACTACAGAGGCGCTGTCGGTGCTCTTATTGTCTACGATATTAGCCGGAGAACCACTTTCGACAGCGTCGGCCGCTGGCTGGATGAGCTTAAAAGTAAGCATTTCGAGCTAAGATAATGGTTTTCTTTGGCGTTTTTGTTTATTATGTGATTCTGAGAGTTAAAGAGTAGTAGATCTGAGCTGCATAATTGATTTACTGACTTAATTCGGAAGAAAACAGCCTTTGAAATTATCGAAGAAAAGTAGAGGATAAGACAAAAGGAAGGAGGGAAAAAAAAAAAAGGAGGGGTTCTTTGTCTCTGACCGATCTTTTCTAGAGTTACTCGTGGCTCTGTTAATTTTTGCTAGATACTTTCTGGAAAAAAAAATTATTCATGGAAAATTGGATATGGTTCTAAAGGAATATGAGTGAATTCTTTTATTATAAGTATGCAACGGAGTCGGCCGTTGCACTGATTGAATAAGGAGGCATAGGAGTGTTACTTTGTATTGTGTATGGATTGGGCAGATTAATGGTGCCTCATTTTCTTCCATTTGATTGGATCTCTCTCTCTCTCTCTCGGGTGCTGGTAGTTGAGACTTGTTTTCTCTGCTTTTCTCTCTGCTGCTCTAAGAGAAAGTTAGTTAAGAAATAAATCCCACATTAGCTTTCTTTTTCTCTAACAACTGAACGAATCTGGGTTGAAAGTTACATTTGAGATAAAATGCAATTGCCATTGAACAGTTGAAGGCATCTATTCGGGATAAAACAATTCCTGGATTCTTTTTCTGGTTTTATGAGGCGATGATAGAAGAGTAGCCTTTACCTTCTGGGAGGCAATTTTAGTTTGGAGGAACTTGTTGATTGAAGATAGGCCACTGTTTGAAATTCGCAATTGATCAAATTTGTTTTATTTAATATTAAAAGCCTTCTCTGCAGTATTCTTTGTTTCAGAAACTCATCAATCATATTGCTTGTCTAAACTAGACCTGAAAGCCAGGTTTTCACTACAATCTGCTAAGACCTAAGTGTCCTATATATGCTCCTGAAGACTTTTCCTAGTCTGATGTGTAAGGTTGGCTTTGTCTCCGTTTTCTTTGAGGTGGGCGCTATTTTCTATGCTAATTCTCATTGATAAATTATTAAGTTACAAAGAAAATTACACTAAACTACCTGTGGTTTGGCTAAATTATACCCAATAGCTGTCTTATTTCAAGAATTACGCCTAACTCCCATCTAGTTTATGTTTCGTTGATGAAGTTAACTTTCTGCACATTATACATTTCTTTCCAAAAATAGAATTACCTAATTGTCTTTTTTGGCATATTAAGATCGGCTTCATCTTGTGCAGATAGTTATTTAATCAAAACAAACTATATTTGAAGTAATGCATCAAAATCTTAGGAGAACTGTGTGTAATTTTCTTAAACAAGAGAAATATCAGGTGTTATTTAATTGAGTCTCAGGATTCTAGGGAGGTCAGCTCAGTTCATTCCATATTATAATTATACCTGGCTTAATTTTCTGATATGCAAAGATAGATAATAGGTTTTATTATCTTGAGAAAGTTTGTCTGGTACACCCTCCAGTCCATAATATAAGACGTCGGTTAGGAGAAAATTGTGTTCCAAAATATAAGATGTTATCAAGATAATTAATGTGATTTTTTTCACTTTTGCCCATATTAAATATAGGAGAGAATGAGAGATAATAAAAGTGTAACATTAAAAGCACCTTTATGATTTTTTTTTTTTTTTTTTAAGGGCTAAAGTAGGAGAACCTTATCATTTTAGGCACATTTAATGGCTGAACTTCCATTTCTTTGTATGTGCGAAAAGTTAATCGACTTCTTATATTCTGGACTGGAGGGAGTATTTTCTGATTGTCCTTGTTTCTTTTTATCCTGCAGTTAGTTTGCCATTAGAGTTTGCTATGCCCCATCCTGTTCGTTTGAGTGTCTGTATCCTGTTCTGCAATTATCGATCTTGTAAATACTTAGTAAATGTGCTTATTCAACTTCTGTTGTTGCAATCTAATGTATAGCTAATGAAATTGGCATTGGGATATCCAATATGTAGATCATTATTACGTGTTGGCCCTTGGATTTTCTGTTTCAAATGAGGATTTCTGCAATTATTGAAACTAACTGGATGCTTGCATTATCATCTTCCTATACACCAATGACAGTGCAAAAGAACATAGAAAGAAAGAAAAACAGAAAAGAGAAGCAAAATATAGCAAAGATGCGGTATTGTATTAATTAACTGTTAACTACACAAGCTGCGACAGCATGAAATATCATGAAACCTTCTATGCATTTCAGCAGCTGCCATAGTTCTGCTAAAGTTCCATATGCATATTTATATGTATATTTCGTCTGGAAATTTCATGGTTAACTCAAAACAAAACTTTCATGCAGCTCACTGCGATACAACAGTGGCATGGATGCTTGTGGGCAACAAATGTGACTTGGATAACATCAGAAGTGTGAGTGTTGAGGAAGGGAAAAGTCTAGCAGAAGCAGAAGGCCTATTCTTCATGGAAACATCTGCTTTAGACTCAACAAATGTGAAGACTGCTTTTGAGATGGTTATTCGTGAGATTTACAGTAATGTGAGCAGAAAGGTGCTCAACTCAGACACCTACAAGTCAGAGCTATCCGTCAACAGAGTGAGCCTTGTTAATGGGGCCACCGAATCCAAGCAGACCCAAAGTTACATTTCTTGTTGTTCCAGATGACCATCGTTGTCGTATCCAACTAAGCAGAAGCTGGTTTGCCAACTCAGTACGGTGGTCTGTTAGCTGGAATACTAAACGGGTTGGTTTTATTCTGTAATGGAAATTGTTTCAAAAGTTATTGGATTTACAAGAAGCACAAGACGTTATATAGAAATGGAATTGTTATTTTAAATTGTAAGAAAGTTTAATTTTATGATTGGGATACAAGAAGGTTGTAACTGCAAAAATCTAGTGGTGGAAGTTGTGGTTGAAAGCCATAATTTTGCTTAAATACTCTGTCCGTGTGATTCAATTCTTAATTTTGTACCGTCTCTGTTTCAGCACAGGGATGCGTGAAAGGACTATCCGCAGTGCCCATATGAGCACCCTACAAAATAGCAGACAAGTTCGAAATCTTTCTTGCTCAGAGTTTTGTTTCTTTATGAATACATTTTTTAATTATTTTGATCCTTGCAGGTAAATATATAGACTGAGAGACACAAACACAACCCTACACTATGTCCCTGCATTATAATGTTTGCAGGTAGATATATAGAGACTGAGAGACACAAACACATCCCTACTCCATGTCCCTGCGTTATAATGTACTTTTCCTTATACTTAATATTAAATCATTAATTTGCATATGTTAAAAATTGGTGAAATTAGTTATTTTATTTGCAACAAATATGTGTTGGTTTTTCTAAAATGTGTCTTCTAATTATGTGCATTATAACTATCATTGATAAAATCTTCTTATTATGTGCAAGTAATAGGAATACATTAAAAAAAATTATAAATTTAGAAAATAAAATAGATTGAGGTTTTATATTTGGTATTAAAACTAACCTCTAGCCTAACTTTTATAACTAGGACTAAATGTGATGATATTTAGACCTTTTAGGGGCTTGTTGGGATTCACAATCAATACACACGTTCATATAAATTAAAACAAAATTATTATCACATCTTTACTTCTTATTCTATAAATCATAATTAAAAGCTGTTTATAAATTATTTATAAGTCATTTCAAATGCGTCTTAAAAATTTTACTCAACAACAGGCTCACTCAAGCGCTGCCCAGCATTGGGCTGAAGCCTCGGTAAGTCGGTATTCTCGAAGACCTGTTACAGACACCAACCACATTTGCAGGACTCAAAAACACCACATGCTGAGTTTTGGTTGAATGGTTGGTGATGAAAAAGGATCTGGAGACCCATCAAACACTGCTTTTCCTTCAATCACAGGGACGAGGACCTTCCATAATTCTGGAATGCTTTGCCTTACTTGTGCTTTTGCACAAAGTTAAATAATACCTCTGGTAGAGATTCCATTTGATAATAAATATAAAACCTTAATTTATTTTGTCTCTAATATTTATTCATTTTAACACAAATAATTCTTATACTGATTACACATGTTAAGGAGTTTCATCAAATGATAATTTTAATATACATGATAAATAGAAATATTTTAAGAGAGATCATGTCTTTTTTTTTCACAAATAACTAATTGGTAATATTTAATTTGTTTTTTTCCAGAGTAACACATGCACTCTGCTGAAATAGCAGATCCGAATGATGGCCCAAAAAAAGTGACAGCAGATCCCAAATGTTGCGAAATTGGATTGCAGTATGGGTTCCCTGCCCAGGAGGCATCTCAGCTTTAATAATTCCTTTGCCTTCTGTCAGCCGCTGCGCAAACATGACAGTACAATTAATGTTGTCGATCACCATGAATCTTCCACGAATAATTAGAAGGTGGATGTTAATTACTACATCCTATCTTTAATATAAGAGTTTGTTTAACTTTTATTTTGATCTTAAATATTAAATCCAAATCTACTTTATCTCTCATATTTATTTATTTTTTTCAAAGTAGTCATTGAAATAATAGTAGTTCTACCAATGCATTTGATCAGTAAGAATACTTTATAAAAAAAATAACACATATTTATTATAAATAATTAACTTAATTAGTTTCTTTAATCTACTCAAATTAATTAATTAGCTCTTATATTAAATATCAGAGGTAGTACTCTCTGAACTTCCGAACTAGTGGCAGATTTTTACAATAAATCTTATGGAATAAAATAGAATATTAATTACTTTCTTTTTTTAATTTATACTTTTAAGTATGGATAAATTCAGAAAGCCACTTCATTTTTTTTTACATCATTTTAATGACTTAACGACATTTTCTTTGATTTTAACTAGATAATTATAAATGAAAGGAATTAGTTTAATATAAAATAGTGGACCAACTTTTAATGTGTGAATATGTTTACATCTTATAGTAGGTAAGGACTTAAAGGTAATGTTGTTGATGATTTTACTTTTTAATATAAGAACTAATTAATTAATTTGTATAGTTTAAAAAAATTAAATAAATTAGTTAATTATAGCAACTGTAATGGGATTTCTAAAATAATGCTTCTTTAATATTAGATTATGTATTAGTTTATGAGTTAGATAAATTAATTTGAGAAAAAATAATAAATATAAGAAATAAAATGCATTAAGATTTTTCTTTTTATCCTTTTGTCCCTTCTCAAAAGCACGGTGGTTTGGAAGCATTATATTTTTTGGTACAAGTGAGGGCTAAAACCCGATAAAAAAACAAAAACGAGCTACTCACAGCATTAATGAACCTGGAATCCAAGGCCACCAAAGTCTTCAGATTCGCTGGGCAAATTATCAAACAAGGAGGATTGGTATAAACCCATTTTCTCCATAGCATCGGCCACCTTATTACCCTCTGTCGGCGTGTATCTTAATTGGGCCTCCCAATTGAGCTTCAGCATTTCGCAAATCTTAAGGAAAACTAAGCTGCAGTTGTCATTTTTTTTCCCTTTCTGTCTAATTGCTTCTGTTTAAGATTATCAGAGATCCAGTCTTCCAAAGAAGCATTAAAGAATTCAAAAATATACATGGGATTTAGCATTTGTAGCCAGAAATCTCTCGCATATGGCAATCTCTTAAAACATGAAGAGTGTCCTCAATATCCACTTGACAATAGTTGCGTAAAGCTGAGAATTGTGACCACTTACTTATCCAAAGGTTTGTTGGTAACCTATCATTAAAGATTCTCCGTAGAAAAACTCTAATCCTCTCTGCTCCTTTCCACTTCCATATTAACTTTTAAGTAGCATGAAGAAGTGCAGGATCATTCTTCTCAAATAGAAAATAGGCACTTTTTAAGCTAAAAATGCCATTTCCAGTAGCATTCCAAATCATCACATTGTTCCCCGCATTCTCTAGCTAAAGGAGGTAAAACTCAATTAGGTGATTAATAACCTCTTCAGTAACCAGACAGCTTAATTTCTGAAAATCCCAGGCACCATATAAGGTCCAGTCTGCAACTGCACTTGGATTGTCCTCTTTAGTAAGAGGCCTTGAGCACATATCTTTAATTCTCTTGTCTAGAAACAGCCACAAATCATTGAAAACGTTGACAAACAAGCCATTTTTGACCTGCCATCTGGAACCCTATTCAATAATATCTCTTTGTTGACAAATAAATTTCCATAATTTTGAATCTCCAGGTAGAGCAGTAAGTGAGTTTTCCTCATTCCGCATCATATATTTATGGGTAAGAATGTCAACCCATAAACCTTTCTCACCCTCAACCAACTTCCAAGCTAATTTTGCCCCATAAGCTTTGTCATGGAAGACGTTTAAATCCTAAACCTCTATAAGATTTAGGTAGAGCTACCTGATGCCAACTAATTGGGTGATAACCATGAGAGCTATGAGCAGTATCGCATATAAAATTTCTCTCTGGATCTTTTCAACCTCTGAACAAATTTTATTAGGCAGAAGAGTCACTTGCACTGGATACATAGGGATAGAATTCAGCACTGACTTGGCTAAAGTAATTCTTCCAGCTAAGGATAGACTATCAGCTTTCCAAGCAAACAATTTCTGCCTCACACGGTCAATAATTTACTGAAAAGTTTGAACAGGTCTTCTATTATTAGTAAGAGGAAAACCTAGATATTTCCCAATCTCACTGGAGATTTTCATCTTAGTAATTCTCTTGATTTTCACCTTCACATCTGATGGCACTTTGGGAGGAAAAAAACAGTGAAATTTACCGTTATTCACAAGTTCCCCGGAAGCATTGGTAAATTTATCAAGACATTCCATCATACATAGGGCTTGTTTTTTCGTAGCTACTCCAAAAGAGCAAGTCATCCGCGAATAGAAGATGAGATAGAGCTGGTCCTTGATTGGAAATTTTCATGGGTTGCCATTTCCTGTCATTCACTGCATCAGTAATTAAATTGGAAAGCTTGTCCATACAAAGAACAAAAAGAAGAGGTGATAATGGATCGCTCTGTCTGAGCCCTCTTTGTGTTGAAAATAATGAGTTTTAGAACCATTCCACAGAACATTGTAAGTAATAGACATAATGCAAGACAAAATCAGCCTAACTGATCTTTCATCCATTCCTGCCTCAAAAAGAATTTTCTGTAAGAAATCCCTGCTAATTCGATCACAAGCCTTAGCTAAATCAATCTTCATTGCCAGAAGACCTTTCCTGCTTTTATTTCTCCTCATAGTATGAAGAATTTCCTGTCCAATAATTATATTGTCTTGGATATGTCTCCCCTTTATAAAACTGGATTGAAATTTGGAAATTAACTCATTTATTACACTTTTCAACCTTTGAGTTAGCACCTTAGTGATGCATTTGTAATGGACAGAGCAAAGAGCTAATGGACAGAAGTGAGTTGTTACAGGTTCTCTCTTTTTGGGATAAGAGAGATCAAGGTCTTATTTACTGCTGTAACAAAGATTTCTCCTTTAAACATACCACGCACAAAGTTACAAATAGATGATCCCACTATAGTCCACTTGCTCTGGAAGAAAATTAGAGAGAAACCATCAAATCCTGGAGCTTTATAAGGCCCCATTGAAAAAAGTGCATACCTGATTTCTTCGTCAGAAGCTATTTTGCAAAAATCATCAAAAAAAACCATCCAGGATAGGAAAACCAGCAACAGTATGCAACTGAGATAAATCATTAGACTCAGACTGATAGAGATTTTCATAAAATCCAACAACCATAGATTTTAACGGCTCCTCATCTTCAATCCAGTTTCTAGAGTCATTCTTCAAAGCAAGGACCCTGTTTTTTCCCCTTCTAATTTTAGTCTTTAGATGATAATATCAGGTGTTTCGATCCCTTTTAGAGACCCAATTAGTTCTAGCCTTCTAAAACCATTTAAGTTCCTCTAACTTTAACACCTCATCTAATTCAGCTTGAAGATCCCTTTCCAGATTACA